CAGTGTATAAATAAATGACAATTCTTGTGGTTCAGAACTGTCATGGAACATACAGAAAATATTCTTTGAGGGAAGTGAGAGTTGAAGAACCTTCTCTATTTTCCAAGAACCCCCCCTGACCCCAGAAAGAGGTATAGTCCCCTTATTTGGTGTTTTCTTCTGCTGTCGTAGAATAAGACCAGGGTTGTTAAATCTCATGGCTTACAGAATATTATTGTTGATATTTAGTGAAAAGTCACTACTTCAGCAGAGTGATAACTTCCCTCATCAGACTGATCATAGACCCTGAACACTTGGGTTGAATCCATGGACATAAGCTCCATTTGGGGTGCATATTTGTTTGCTAAAGTTGCCAGAACAAAGTGCCACAAACAGAGTGGTATAAACAGAAATTGGCGGTCTCATACTTCTGGAGCTGAAAAATCTGAGATCAAGGCATCAGCAGGGCCATGTTCCCTCAGAAGGCACTAGGGAAGCATCTGCTCCTGGCCTTTCTCCTGCTTTGGGGAGTTCTTTGGCTGTGGCAGCAGGACCCCCATACTCACATGGTATTCTTCTATGCACATGTCTGTCTCTGAGTCCAAAATTTCCCTTTTTATAAAGACATCAGTTATATTGGACTAGAAGCTCAACCTCTCCAGTATGACCTCATCTTAACTAATTACATCTGCAGTGACAATATTTCCAAATAAGGTCACATTCTGAGTTGCTAGAGGTTAGAACTCCAATGTAAGAATTTTGTGGGGGAGGGCAACACAATCCCACCCATAACTGGGTGGGTCTTCTTCTTTGTTGCCAATGGAGGCAGAAAGAAGCTGCTAGTTCCTGTGTGCCAAAGTTCCTCCTTCTCCCCCTAGCTTTTTCCTTCCCCCCTTCATACAGCCATGGCTTCTTTTCAATGTATGTTCCTTTCCCTGGCAAGGGATACGACTTCTCTTCTTGACTCTCAGACAATGAAACATGCTGGGAACAGATGTCTCCAAATCTGTTTCTGCAACAGTTTTGGATTCAGATGAAGGCCCAACCAATATCTCTGAGCTGCTTTGCGTGTGTTTTCACATACCTTGCCTCTCTGAATCCTCAAAATTCCCCTCTAGAGTAGTATGATACCTACTTTTGAGGAAAATAAAGCTAAGACATTAAGTAGCTTATCCAAAATCACACCATTCACAAGTGGTAGGGCTAGAAATACGATCCATCTGGATAGGATTTTGTCTTATCTTTGTGATTCCAGAAACTAAGACAGTATCAGCAGCTCTTCTCATTCCAAACCTTTCCACTGCGCTTCTCTGCTTTACCAGTCACTGTGCCAATGAATGGAAGTGACTGTGCTCTTAGAGGATGAGCATCTAGTTACCCAGGTGTCACAAATTGGTCTCATCCCACCGCGTATATACATAGTTGTGCCAACCTAACTATTGGAATTTTCAAAACCCCTAAATCAATATGGCCTGGATTCACTTGAGTGTCCTGTTGATCAAATACCCAAAGAAATGAAAAAAATTGGATGTAATCTAGTGCAACTCTCAAGTGCAAAGGAACTCTGAACAGGAGTCCTGACTCACAGTGCCTTTCCTGGGACAGCACACTCCACCTCCATGCCACCATGTTGGAAAAGTAAAAATCTCAAATCTCACAACTGTCTTAATATGCTTAGGCCCCTGGCTCTCCACCCATCCCACCCATGGGAAAGAAGAAAACACATGACCGGAATATTAGAGGCTAACAATAAATGCCCTCCCTGTCAGCTGTCAGAAAATCCAAGGTGCTTTGAGGCAGAAAGATGAACAAACACTCCCCTTTGGCAGGATACAGGCCCTGGCTTAGTAGTTGTAGTCATTAGCTCCTGCTTGGAGAAAGTGTTTCCCAGGAAGGCGACCTGTGCTGTTTGATGTTCACTGACTGATCTGGTTAGGCTCTGAATATAGGACCTCATCCTGAAATTCTAGTCTTCTAGAGAGGGGAATGGATTTGAGGAATGAATGCAATAAGAAGGAAGAATGTTCCACATGAGAAAACTGAGTACTCTCTGAGGCATGTTTTCCTTTAACAGTGCAACGAAAACTGAGGCAATTATAAGGTGAGAGGATGATTTTATTTCAATTTCCTGATTTTTTTTCAGGTGTGCTTGTTCCACTTGAATTATATTTCATAAACTGACCCATTTCCTTTGTCTGTATGGGCCTAAGTCATCACCGTCATTATTGAGTCTGGAAAGTCCTAGGGCGCGGTCTTTGTCTCAGGGCTAGGTCAGGGCTAGGTCCAGAATTCAGGTCTCTTCACCCCAGTCCTGGCTCTCAGCCACTCCCCAGAGGCCTCTGCTGACACGGATACCTCACCATCAAAGACCCAATCCCACCCACCAGGTCACTCATAGGGTTAAGCATCCTTAAAATGCATCCTCTGTCTGTGATCCTTCACAATCCCATTGCCATGATGCTTCACTCTCAAAGCTGGCATCTGGCCTGGAGTTCAAAGAGAAAGGAATTACAGCCAGGTTCCTAAGTGTCCACAAAGAGCAAGTTCTGGAATCAAAGAATCTGATAGCCAGAACTCTGGGAGGGTGAGAAATCTGCTCTCTTCTTTTCAGAAGGAGAGCAGGAAAGTGGCTTGTCCAGGGTCACTCAGCTCAAAAAGACAAACCTGGACCTAGAGCCATCCCATAGATCAGTAAATCTGGTCCTTTTCCCACCTCATCTTACTCCTTTCTTTCTGACAGGGAGAGAGGGAAAGAGCAGAGAAAGAGAATGAATGAGAGAATGAGAATCACCTTTAAGGAAAAGGTGTTTCAGCCGGGAGTGTGGGAGTTGTGGGAGGGCCTCCCACTTCACCCTGGTTTTGAAGGATCTCTCCATCCCCTTCTCTAACCAAGTAGCTGTGGCAGAACAGTGGGGGCCTGGCTGACATCCTGGGCTTTAAAGTCCCATATCAACTTGCGTTTTTTTTTTTTTTAATTTTTATTGTTGGTTGTTCAAAACATTACATAGTACTTGATATATCATATTTCACACTTTGATTCAAGTGGGTTATGAACTCCCATTTTTACCCCGTATACAGATTGCAGAATCACATCAGTTACACATCCATTGATTTACATATTGCCATACTCGTGTCTGTTGTATTCTGCTGCCTTTCCTATCCTCTACTATCCCCCCTCCCCTCCCCTCCCCTCCCCTCTTCTCTCTCTACCCCCTCTACTGTCATTCATTTCTCCCCCTTGTATTATTTTTCCCTTTCACCTCACTTCCTCTTGTATGTAATTTTGTATAACCCTGAGGGTCTCCTTCCATTTCCATGCAATTTCCCTTCTCTCTCCCTTTCCCTCCCACCTCTCATCCCTGTTTAATGTTAATCTTCTTCTCCTGCTCTTCGTCCCTACTCTGTTCTTAGTTACTCTCCTTATATCAAAGAAGACATTTGGCATTCGTTTTTTAGGGATTGGCTAGCTTCACTTAGCATAATCTGCTCTAATGCCATCCATTTCCCTGCAAATTCTATGATTTTGTCATTTTTTAATGCAGAGTAATACTCCATTGTGTATAAATGCCACATTTTTTTTATCCATTCGTCTATTGAAGGGCATCTAGGTTGGTTCCACAGTCTTGCTATTGTGAATTGTGCTGCTATGAACATAGATGTAGCAGTGTCCCTGTAGCATGCTCTTTTTAGGTCTTTAGGGAATAGACCGAGAAGGGGAATAGCTGGGTCAAATGGTGGTTCCATTCCCAGCTTTCCAAGAAATCTCCATACTGCTTTCCAAATTGGCTGCACCAATTTGCAGTCCCACCAGCAATGCACAAGTGTACCCTTTTCCCCACATCCTCGCCAGCACTTGTTGATGTTTGACTTCATAATGGCTGCCAATCTTACTGGAGTGAGATGGTATCTTAGAGTGGTTTTGATTTGCATTTCTCTGACTGCTAGAGATGGTGAGCATTTTTTCATGTACTTGTTGATTGATTGTATGTCCTCCTCTGAGAAGTGTCTGTTCAGGTCCTTGGCCCATTTGTTGATTGGGTTGTTTGTTTTCTTATTGTCTAATTTTTTGAGTTCTTTGTATACTCTGGATATTAGGGCTCTATCTGATGTGTGAGGAGTAAAGATTTGTTCCCAGGGTGTAGGCTCCCTATTTACCTCTCTTATTGTTTCTTTTGCTGAGAAAAAACTTTTTAGTTTGAGTAAGTCCCATTTGTTGATTCTAGTTATTAACTCTTGTGCTATGGGTGTCCTATTGAGGAATTTGGAGCCCGACCCCACAGTATGTAGATGGTAGCTAACTTTTTCTTCTATCAGAGGGCGTGTCTCTGATTTGATATCAAGCTCCTTGATCCATTTTGCGTTTTATAGGGACTTTATTAATTTTCACTAATAACAGAAAACCCAAAGCTGTGCCCATTTGATAATTCGGGAGAAATTTGTAGCGCTTTAAAAAAAATATTGAATTTTGTGCAAACATATAAAGAGCTACTTCCGGAATCACCCATCATCCCGGGTAGGGGCAGTGGACTGTCCAGCCTTTTTCAGGGAATGCTGTTCCTACAACCCTTTCTCTACCCCAGAGTCGCTTCTCTACTTCAGGAGGTTTTGCTTCTCCTATGCTTCCCACAGTTGCAAATCCTCACGTTGCCCAAAACTAAATCTTAAGTTCCATGGACAAATGCTCCAGCCCCGCGGGGCTCCCGGACACTAGAGAGATCGGATTTCGCGTGGCAGCCCAGCTTCCCTTACTCCGCTTTCCTCCCGCCTGAGATGCGCTGGAGCCAATCAGAGCGACGCCGAGCTCTGGGTTGTAGAGTCCCGAGCCCGGGACCCGCCCCTCTTTGTTGCGGTGGCCAATGGACGCATTCGGAACATCGGCGGCTGCCCGGGTGACTCGGTTATATGTCACAGAATAACATTCGAGAATGGGACATGGAATGAGGCGACGACCGCAGCAGCCCCAGCAGCCCCAGCAGCCCCAGTCCCAGGCTTGGCAGCAGGCGCCGAAGCAGCAGCCCCCGCCGCCTGGAGAGGCTTTGCAGCAATGAAGCCCACCATCCCGAGGTAGGTCCCGGAGCGCCGCGCGCCCTTTCCGAGCCCCGCCTGCGGTCAGTCGCTCCAGGTACCTGGCCCTGGAATTTGGGGTGCGGGAGGCGGATGCAGCTCTTTCCATTGGAACATAGGGCTAGGGGCGCCCCTTCTCCTGCCGGGGTCCGGGAGGGTTTTCTGGGAGAAGCGGGGCTACCTTTGCAAGCGGAGGCTGCTGCAGCGCCCTCGCGTTAGCCCTGGGCGCTCACGTGTCGGCACGTTCTGGGCTCGGCTCGTCTCGTCCATCGTCCACTACCGGGACCCAGGAATGAGTGGAGCCTTGCGGGGACCTCCTGTGTCTTCACGCACCACGGGCTGTCTTTCTTCTGCCTACACGGTCCACTCCGCATCCCCCATGCTCCTCGTTTCCCCCACACCCTGGTGTTTAGGTGTGTGTGAAGCTTTGTGGCAAATTCAAGCTGCCTTTCTGTGTAATCGGAAGGCTGAAAGCTCGTATTCAATTCCTTGGGGGAAGGGGGTCTTGTCAGCGTGCAAGGGGCAGCGGGAGGTGACGTGGAGACGCTCCAGGGCTCCCACTCGGTTCCTCTGGATGTCCACTTAGCCGTGGTGTCTGCTGTCTCCACTGATTTCAGGCACGGCCCGTAAGCCGGGAGCCCGGCCGCCTCCGCGGAGCTCTCGCCGCCGCTACCCCTTGGCGCGTCCTGCCGCAGAAAGAGGCATGGAAAAGGCCACCCCCGCGGGGCGCTGATCCCCGCGCCGCGCCCGCGCGCACACGCCCCCCGCTGCTGCCGCTGCCAAGCACCCCCCTCACCTCGCCCCCCGCGCCCTCTCCCCACCATGACCGGCTCTGCGGCCGACACTCTCCGCTGCCCCCACCCCAAAGGCTCCAAAGGCACCCGGTCCCGGAGCAGCCACGCACGGCCCGTGAGCCTCGCCACCAGCGGGGGCTCGGAGGAGGAGGACAAAGACGGTGGGGTGATGTTTCACGTTAACAAGAGCGGCTTCCCGATCGACAGCCACACCTGGGAGCGCATGTGGATGCACGTGGCCAAGGTGCACCCCAAGGGGGGAGAAATGGTGGGCGCTATCAGGAACGCCGCCTTCTTGGCAAAGGTCAGTGGCTTCGCATGAGAGGGTGGGATGGGCAATGATGGGACCATTTCAACCAGAACAGAGCAAATAGAGTCAATCTCCATGTCATTGGTCCTGCTACAAACTCCCTCCTCCCAATTGCTCTTGTCAGCCCTTTTCCTAATTGTCATGTTTGCCTTGGAAGCCTTAGAAATGGGGGAGCACCATCCTGGAACTATATGATAGGATTGTGGCAAGGTTTCTTTGAATCTCCAAACTGTTATTTACTCAGTCCCATGTCCATCCCCCTTCAGCAAAGACTAGCGCCACCAGGTAACACCAGCGATGCCAAAAATGCATAGACCCCAAGGATACCACTCTACTTGTCCTCTTTGGAGTTCTCGCTCCTTCCCCCATCCTCCCAGCCCCCCACCCCCAGCAAATGATTTATTAAGCTGTGAATGAATTTGCAATCAACCAGTCAGACTTCTCAGTGTGAATCATTTCTAGACTTTTTGCCTTTTTTTTTTTTTTTT